ATTTCGTGTCACTCCTCTGATTATCCTCTGCGTGACTTACGCAACTCGAGAAAGACGATTGTCGGTCATGCACAGAAAGAATTGCGATTCGCAAATGGTTTTGGGTACGAGATACGAATTCTGCGATATTACGACGTTTCGAAATCGTCTCATAATTATTTATTTATTTATTTAGTTCAGTTGACTCATCTAAATTTTGTTTTTAAAGTCATTGAAATGATAAATGAAATTTTAAATCCAGTCCAATTGAGATTTAAATCCATGTTGAAACGAGATTGCAGGTCTCTTGAAATTCAATAAAAAAAATAAAATTATGATTATGTGTCAATTTATCATTACTTCAACTTTGACAATTGATTATAAGAATACTGCAAAATACACACAATTATCGTTAAAACCAAATTATTCCTTATAGTTTTATTATAGTCAGACATTTGAAACAAATTTTTATGTACGTTTAACGTTTCATTGCTTAACTAATATTTGCTTTCTGTCGTTTTATCAACAAATTTTCACATCAAACTTTTATTATTTCTTAATTAAAGTTGGCACTATAAAAGCATTTAACTTACACGTAGCATGAAGTCATATAAAAAATTCTACATCATTAAAATAAGTGCATTGCCTTGAAAAGTGCATTTACCTTCTCGACCTTGACAGAACGTTTTTCACATAGACGCTATAAAATATTGAAGAAAAAAAGGAATAATATTATTCGAAAGTCTCCATTAATTACATACATACTAATATGTATGAATTGCATAATTTCGTTGGTTTCTAATTTAAACTAGTTTAATTATCTTAATTAACTTGATCATAACATCAGTTACGAAATGAACACACATTGAGATTCGTATAAGATTATCATCAATTTGGAAAATTGGAAAACCTCTTTTAATTGATTGTATCTTAAATGTCATATGTCGACGTATTAACTGTCATGGGTTACTTGAAGAAAATGGTGGTTAATAAAAAAGATTTGTCATTTTTGACGTATTAACTGTCATTTGGCTAATTGTGGAAAATGGTGGTTAATAAAGAAGAACTGTCAGTTTTTGACGTATTAATTGTCATTTGCATGGGTTACTTGAAGAAAATGGTGGTTAATAAAGAAAAACTATCAGTTTTTGACTTATTAATTGTCATTTGTATAGGTTACTTGAAGAAAATGGTGGTTAATAAAGAAGAACTGTAATTTTTGACGTATTAACTGTCATTTGCCTAATTGTGGAAAATGGTAATTAATAAAAAAGAAAAATTAACTGTCATTTTTAAAGTCGATTTAGGTTAGATAATCAAATGTTTATGTAACGCTCTCGAATATTTTACGCGTAATTTTTATTAGTTCATAATGTTTAGATTACATTTTTTTTTACATGTTATCAGCTTTTATTTTTGTGTTGTCGATTACGAACGAACGATTTGGGTTAATTTTGGCCTATTGCAGATAAAGAGATGAAATGTAAACTATATGTGATTTTACAAATTTTCTAACTGAAGCAGTTATATGATTGATGCGATTGAATAATGATGCGTAAATGAACAATAAAAGTTGCGTAAAGGTGACGTGAATTCGCGTAAGTTCGTTTTAAATTGGTGAAATTATGTACGCGGTCGATTGTTCGCTCGTTTATGAATGCTAAGAGCGTATCCTTTCTTTCCATACTTACTTACTTACGTGCATACATACATAGTCAAATGATTTTTATTGTATTTCTTTTTTTTGCAAATCATTCGAGACGCGCGCAGAGAGAATACAAATATTCGAGCAAAGCAGATATTAAGTGTACATTGTTAGACATTGGTAGAAGTTGCGTGAATTCAGAATCCGTCCACATAGAAGAATTTATAAATAGCTATTTCAATCTCCACATTCAATTCTACACAATTGAAATACATATTTTATATTACAGCTGTTAAATTATAGACTTTGGTGTACTCTAATTCAATATATAAGTTAATTACAACATTTTCATATTAAATAGACAAATTTTGAGAATTAGAGAATTATAGATTACTAAAGTTAGTAGATATAATTATGTATTTAGTAGCTAACTATCAATTATCTAAATGAACAATGAAAGATATACACATTTAAGAGAGAATTTATGTAAAACCTTGATTAATTTATCGATATTTTCACTTTATTTTTTCCATGTTTCTGTTACACCTTGTTCTTTCCTCGCTCTTGAGTGTTGAGTCAAGGAACTCAAGTTGGGCGACATCGGTTTTTAATGACTATTTGCGTCCCGGCCGGTTGGTGGAGATTGAAGAGTCGCGCGCGCGCCACGTGTTTCCACTAAAAATAGGTAGAAATTTGGGCCCGAAGTCGAAGAAGCGCTGCACAGCTCAACAAGTAACGCTTCGTCGTCTCGCGCTCATGATTTGCCAAAAAGCTAACTCACGAAATTGATGCAAATATGCCAAAAAAAGTAAATTGCATTTTCTGTTTGCAATCACTTTGTTTGTTGAGAATGCAGCAGTTTGCATTACTTCAGCTTTTGGATTCCAATAAAAAGGAAAACCATTGCTTAATGTTTTATTACCTCATTTTTGAACAAGCCAAACGGATGAAACGATTTGCATCATTACAATGCATTCAGAATTACTGTTTACTTTCCTCGTTATAATATCGTATTAGCGTTATCTTAATGAGTCTGTGAGGCCTATTATCTATATAAATTAACTGGTAGATAAATTTAAGTTTCAACGATTTCAATTAACAGTTCTTGTTTTAATATCGCAAAGTTTGTATAGAAATGTATCATATCAGTTTAGTACATTTAAAACGATAAATATGTTTTTTTTATTATTTTACATGTAATTTAAAAGAGTAATAGTGCCTTAATTGATGATTCAAACAAGTATGATTAATAATTAACATTTTTCTTGTTTTTCTTTCATTTCTTAGGTCACACAATGCATTTGAAATTGTTCATTCATTGTAAATTGTTTAATCTGGAAACGCGTAATAAAATTTCAATGAACAATGCTCGCGATTTGGAATGCAAAATTTCCTCTATTGAAAAGAAAAAAAATAGTGTGAATATGTGAGTGAAAGATACTAATTAATAATTGTAGAAATCTCACGCAATTATTGGACAGATTTCACGGGCTCGTTTAATGATTAGCATTTAAATAATCTGGTCTAGACGGCTTTCGTTGTTGTTGTTATTTGTTTTTTTTTGTTTCTTGTTGTATTGAATTAACGATTGTTGCGGTGACTTGCCTTTTTTTTTTGAATGTATTGAAAACCGGAAATGGACGTGTCGTTTATGTGCGCGATGTGCTCGTAGAGTTGTGGAAGATGAAGACCTTCGGATAAATTGGGTTGGCGTGTGCAATTGGTTTCAATTACAAGGCCAAAGAAAATTATTATCTTTCCATTTGGTTGTTCTCTCTCCTCGCCTCCTCGAGTCTTTCTGTTGTTTTGTCGCGCTCGAACGGAGATTTGGAACGCGCAGACGGTTTCTCAATATCAGTTTTTTTCTGGATAAACTTTTACAACAATCATAATCATATGAATTTTGTTAAATATTGATGCAAAAATGCAATGAAATTTTTCATTTTGAGATTTTCGATAGAATGATTATTTTTGTTTCTTATGACAAACTTTCGTAGTGCCTTTTTGACATTTTGGAAAAGAATTCTTAAAGTCGTTTTTTGTAAAAGTATTGTACTTTATTCATATTTTATAAAAGACATTTTGAAGACTGAAGACATTTTTTTTAAATTTGACGTATCTTTTAAAAACTTGACAGTTTTCAAATACTGAAGAAATTTTTTTAAATTTGACGTATCTTTCAAGTATTTGACAGTTCTAATAAAAAGGATTGTAATTGAATCATATTATATGAAAGACATTTCAAAGAATGAAGATATTTTTAAATTTGACATATCTTTCAGAAAGTTGACAGTTCTTATAAAAAGGATTGTAATTGAATCATATTGTATGAAAGACACTTTAAAGAATTAAGACATTTTTTTAAATTTGACGTATCTTTGAAAAACTTGACAGTTCTTATAAAAAATATTGTAATTGAATCACATTGTATAAAATACTTTTCAAATATTGAAGACTTTTTTTTAAATTTGACGTATCTTTCAAAAATTTGACAGTTCTTATAAAGTGGATTGTAATTGAATCACATTGTATAAAAGACATTTCAAATATTGAAAACATTTTTTAAATTTGACGTATTTGACAGTTCTAATCAAATGATTGCAATTGATTGATTCATATGGGTAAAACCAACCACTTGAATGTCACTATCGACTAGTTGGTTTATCTAATTGCACACTCTATATCTGCACTTAATTCTAATGAAATTGATATTACATATTTGATTTTGTTTTTTGATACAGTGAAAATCGCTGCAATTGTAGAAATTTTATCTGTCACTTTGACATTAAGTTTTGTTTATGATTGTGTAATTTACACAATTATTCAATAATGAGCAAATACATCAATTTTAAGTTCACTTGACCAAATTATTAGTGTATTTGGATATGTGAATGCAGAGGTTCGATCCAGATTATGCATATTTTTTAAAACCGCCTCTCTTAAATAATTTCACTTTCTTTCTTGATTTAGTCACGTTTTGTACGGCCGGTTTAGAACTAGTTTCACGATATTATCTAGGTGGAAAAGCGGGTTTTCTAAGCAAGATATTAATGCGTTTTCTGAACTATCATCATAATATTATAAGTCTACGCTTTTTGTGTTAATCTGTCGTTTGCCTTAGTTTTATCTGGCGGACGCGCTTATATAAAATGTGTATTATCCGCGTGAAGCCTTGGTCGGATGCAAAACAAAATAAGGAGAGACGGAGAAAGCAATAGAAAAATGTAGTGAACTTGATTTATGTTCGCGTTCTCGTTTACTCTTTCTCTTTTCTATACAGTACTTGTTTGTAAACAGAATCGTCGATAATGAATGATATTGGCAAGTTCGAGTTCGAGAGTCAGTAGTTAATGTGCAACGTTCCTTTCTGTTACAGATTTGAAGTGGAGAGCATCGGGACAGGACTGATATATATACACATAGAGTTATTTTTTTTCTTCTAAATTTTTGGTTCCGTTTTGGAATTTTGCTAAATTTTTGCTTCGAGTCACAACAGATCGATTGTGAGTTGAAAAGATGGTGGTGAGGCTGCTGAGCACGAAGGGCTTCGGCCCGTCCCAGAGCCTCTTCAAGATCAGGAGCGCGAAGAACTACAGCACCAAGATCACGTACAAACCGATCCGCAGCGTTCTCGTTGCGAACAGAGGTGAAATCGCGGTGCGCGTCTTCCGTGCCTGCAACGAGTTGGGCATCAAATCCGTGGCCATCTACTCCAAGGAGGACAGGGCTCACATCCACAGGCTGAAAGCGGACGAATCTTATCTGGTCGGTAAAGGTTTGCCTCCGGTCCAGGCTTACCTCAACATCGAGGAGATCATCAGGGTGTGCCAGGACAATGGAGTCGACGCCGTCCATCCCGGTTACGGTTTCCTCTCCGAGAGGTCGGACTTTGCTCAGGCCGTCGTCGATGCCGGCATGCGTTTCATCGGACCCAGTCCCAAGGTCGTCCAGCAGATGGGTGACAAGGTCGCTGCCAGGGAGGCCGCAATCGCCGCAGGTGACGATCTCTCCATCCATCTATCTTCATTCATTTATCGCATAAAAAAACGATTAGATTGGCACGGTCCAAATCACCTTCAAACCGTTTATCTTATCTAACAGATTTCGCCCATCTAAATGTAAACAAACAATTGGGGGCACGGCGTTACGCAATTATCTTGTTGTCGTGGCGACGTTACCCAATTTACTCTCCTTTGTTTTATATATTTGCATTGCTACTTTAAATTATATCAAATCTCATATCTCAATTAATACAGATTTCAAATGTAATAGATCAAAAGATTTCAATGATAAACATATAACTCGGTATATTCATAAAGCATATCATATAATTACATCCAATTTTCTATTGTTAGAAGTTACAAGTTTTAGAGGAAAGTTTCATCTTGATGTTTTAAATTATTGCGTGTAATTTTCATCAACTAGAAACAATCAATTATTGATTGTTTCTAGTTGATTTCGCCCATCTAAATGTAAACAAACAATTGGGGGCACGGCGTTACGCAATTATCTTGTTGTCGTGGCGACGTTACCCAATTTACTCTCTTTTGTTTTCTATATTTGCATTGCTACTTTAAATTATATCAAATCTCGTATCTCAATTAATACAGATTTCAAATGTAATAGACCAGAAGATTTCAATGATAAACATATAACTTGGTATATTCATAAAGAATATCATATAAATACATCCAATTGTCTATTGTTAGAAGTTACAAGTTTTAGAGGAAAGTTTCATCTTGATATTTTAAATTATTGCGTGTAATTTTCATCAACTAGAAACAATCAATTATTGATTGTTTCTAGTTGATTTCGCACATCTAAATGTAAACAAACAATTGGGGGCACGGCGTTACGCAATTATCTTGTTGTCGTGACGACGTTACCCAATTTACTCTCTTTTGTTTTATATATTTGCATTGCTACTTTAAATTATATCAAATCTCATATCACAATTAATACAGATTTCAAATGTAATAGATCAGAAGATTTCAATGATAAACATATAACTTGGTATATTCATAAAGAATATCATATAAATACATCCAATTGTCTATTGTTAGAAGTTACAAGTTTTAGAGGAAAGTTTCATCTTGATATTTCAAATTATTGCGTGTAATTTTCATCAACTAGAAACAATCAATTATTGATTGGTTGTAATTTTCCATCTATTACAATTTTACTGGTAACATTTCCATTAAGCCAATCTAACTTTATAATATAAGTTTGCTTGTGTCTATTTAAAGTTATTAATGTTGATGCTGATTTTTGTTTGTTTTTTTTATAGGTGTACCAATTGTGCCTGGTACCGATGGCCCGGTTACCACGAAGGAAGAGGCAAGGGAGTTCTGCAACAAGCACGGACTTCCCGTTATTTTCAAAGTATGTTTGATTTATTTCGATCGGTATATCTCTTATTGATTTTTGTTTTGTTTTTTGCAAGGCTGCCTACGGTGGAGGCGGCAGAGGTATGCGTGTCGTCAGGAAAATGGAGGAGGTCGAAGAGAACTTCCAGAGAGCGTCTTCTGAAGCTTTGTCCGCGTTCGGAAACGGAGCCATGTTCATTGAGAAGTTCATCGAGAGGCCTCGTCACATCGAGGTTCAACTGCTCGGAGATAAGGCCGGAAACGTAGTGCACCTTTACGACAGAGATTGCTCCGTGCAGAGGCGCCATCAGAAGGTCGTCGAGATGGCCCCGGCGCCTCATCTGGATGTTAAAATCCGCGACCAGATGACTGCGGCTGCTGTCAAATTGGCGCAGCACGTCGGTTACGAGAACGCCGGTACCGTGGAGTTCCTGTGCGACGAGAAGGGCAACTTCTACTTCATCGAAGTCAACGCTAGGTAAATTCTGGATGTTCTTGTTTTGTTATAGAGATTGTTAATGTTTATGCTTTCAGGTTGCAAGTCGAGCACACGGTGACTGAAGAGATTACAGGTGTCGATCTTGTGCAATCGCAGATCAGGGTGGCCGAAGGCATGACCCTTCCAGAGCTCGGTCTCGTTCAAGATAAGATCTACCCAAGCGTAAGTTTAAGGTTGAATGATTGCGTTCAACAATTTTAATAATGCAATTTCGTTTTTTTTTTTTGAAGGGTTTCGCTATCCAATGTCGTGTCACCACCGAGGATCCAGCGAAGAACTTCCAGCCGGATACCGGTCGCATTGAGGTGTTCCGTTCCGGAGAGGGTATGGGTATCCGTCTGGACGGTGCCAGCGGTTTCGCCGGTGCCATCATCTCTCCGTACTACGATTCGCTCCTCGTCAAAGTAATCGCCCATTCTCGCGATCTCCAGAGCTCCTGCGCGAAGATGAACAGAGCTTTGCGCGAGTTCCGTGTGCGCGGCGTCAAGACCAACATCCCGTTCCTGCTGAACGTCCTCGAAAACCAAAAGTTCCTCAACGGCAGCGTCGACACCTACTTCATCGACGAGAACCCGCAGCTGTTCCAGTTCCTCACCTCGCAGAACAGGGCCCAGAAGTTGCTCAACTACATCGGTCAGGTGCTCGTCAACGGACCCACGACGCCGCTCGCCACCAACGTCAAACCCGCCGACACCACGCCAAACATTCCGGCCGTCTCAGAAGGTAACATAAGAATCACCCGATCCCCGCATGCGCAGACGGCGGTGTTAACCGCAACCAAGTGAACACGCAAGTGCAACTGGTTGTCGGAAAACCCCCATCTCCGATGCAACAAAGACCTTCAAACCGACCAACCAACCCAAAACAAATTCAGCATTATCTATCGAAAAGCGACACTTACTTAAATGACGAAACTTTGCAATTGCAGCCTACTTAACCCAAGCGACCAGCAGTGAGTAAACAATTATCAGAAAGAGCAAAAGAATAGAAAGAAAAAAAAAAAGATTCGGTACTTCGAGTACAAGTAATTAGTAACCGGTGTGGTTTTTTTACCTTTAGTCTAATCTAATCTATTTGTTGTTTTCCGTGTTGCCGAGATCGTATATCTATTTATTTTAGTCGGCTCCGCTTGTTACTGCATCTGTGTTAACCCCTCTACTCATTGTTTTATTTTATTTTATTTTTTGTTTCTTTGGTAAACGGTTTACTCTGAACCCTTCCCCATTTCGCCCACCCAAACACATCTGCAGCATAACTTCAACCAGATGCAGATCAATGTAGTTTTATTATTTTGACCCTCACATCATCCAACCTACAGACAGAAGAAAAAGCTGCTTATCGTTGGTAAATGGTTGATTGATTTTCGTATTGTATTTTGTGTCACATCTCGTCAGATTCCACTACAATTCTAGGATTGGTATTTTTATGCATTCATCTCCAGTTATCAAAAGTTACATTCATACACGATATTCGTCAATCAGTAGCTTAAATTTTTAAACATTTAGTAGATTCTATTTGATTCATATAAATGGTGTTGGTATTACTTTTCTACCGCAGCTATTACACATTTCATATTTATTTTAGTTACCCATGAACGTCTTATGTTGGTATGATTCCAGCATTTTAGGTATTAGTATTAGCATGTCGATGTTAATTATCAGAAAAAAAGCATCTGTCCATTATTGATTTATGAACATATTTTTGTTTTGAATGGCCCCGATTTCCATGAATCATCCCAAGTAGTTGCGTTTTTTTTTGTTGTTGTTGTTTTGGAATGCACTTTTTGATTTTAATCATTTTGTTGAATTTAATTTTAACTATCTATCCAGCTGTGTAATTTAGTTAATACAAGGCATGCCCTTTTGTCGTTTCTTTTGCAGCTTACATATCGGTCACCAGCGAAGAAGGACCAAGTAATGCATAAGTTTTTATTTTCTATTATTATTATTACTATTACTATTATTGTTTCCATACTTTGAATGTTGTCATCCGTGTCGATAATCCGCATGCAGCAGCAGCCGCTTGATCATACATATTTTTTCCATTCCTCTCTCTATTTTTCTATATCTCTTTCCACTTTTTTTTTCAATAACTGTCTTAACTCTTTTAATCGCTTTTTTGTTGTTGTTGTTGTTTCTAACGATGTTGTGCAGATCTCGAAGCGATTAACATGCATGCGCTTATTTTTAATGTCAGATTTCTTGGTGTTTGCTCTCGTTAATTTTAGCTTTGTTGATTCGTCCAGATGTTCAGCCACCCAAGGGTTTTAGGCAGATCTACAAGGAGCAAGGTCCGGAAGCTTTCGCGAAGGCCGTGCGCGCCCACAAGGGTCTCCTCCTCATGGACACCACCTTCAGGGATGCCCATCAGTCTTTGCTCGCCACCAGAGTGCGCACCCACGATTTGCTGAAGGTCTCCCCGTACGTCGCACACAACTTCAGCAACCTCTACTCCATGGAGAACTGGGGTGGCGCCACCTTCGATGTCGCCCTCCGTTTCCTGCACGAGTGCCCTTGGGACCGTCTCGCCGAGATGAGGAAGCTCATCCCAAACATCCCCTTCCAGATGTTGCTCAGAGGGGCCAACGCCGTCGGTTACACCAACTACCCGGACAACGTCGTCGAAAAGTTCTGCGAACTCTCCGTAAGTCTAAAGTGGATGCGCCGGGTATTGAATGAACGATATAATGAATTGTTTCTCAGGTACAAACTGGAATGGATATCTTCAGGGTGTTCGATTCTCTTAACTACTTGCCAAACCTGATTTTGGGTATGGAGGCAGCCGGTAAGGCAGGCGGTATCGTCGAGGCTGCAATCTCTTATTCAGGAGATGTGAGCAATCCTAACAAGAAGAAATACGACCTCAAGTATTACATGAAGTTGACCGAGGAGTTGGTGAAGGCTGGCACTCACGTCTTGGCCATCAAGGATATGGCCGGTCTGCTCAGACCCACCGCAGCCAAGTAATTATTACGAATGCGATGTATTTTCAGATGTTGATTGCTTTGTTGTTTGTTTGCAGGATGCTCGTATCAGCGATCCGTGATAAGTACCCAGACTTGCCAATCCACATCCACACGCACGACACCAGCGGAAACGGTGTCGCTTCGATGCTCGCGTGCGCCGAAGCCGGTGCCGACGTCGTCGACGTTGCCGTTGACTCCATGTCCGGTCTGACCTCTCAACCTAGCATGGGCGCCATCGTCAGCGCTCTGGAGGGAACTCCATTGGACACCAAGTTCAATCTTCCCGCCATCTCCGACTACTCCGCGTACTGGGAACAAACTCGTACCCTGTACGGTCCGTTCGAATGCACCACCACCATGAAGAGCGGCAACGCCGATGTTTACAACAACGAAATTCCCGGCGGTCAATACACCAACTTGCAATTCCAAGCGTACTCCCTCGGCCTCGGCGACTTCTTCGAGGACGTCAAGAAAGCGTACGCCGAAGCCAACATTCTTTTGGGAGACATCATCAAGGTCACCCCGTCCTCCAAGGTGGTCGGCGATCTCGCCCAATTCATGGTACAGAACAAGCTCAAGGCCCAAGACGTTTTGGACAAGGCAGAGGAACTCTCCTTCCCCAAGTCCGTCGTTGAATACCTGCAAGGTCACATCGGTCAACCCTACGGAGGATTCCCAGAACCGCTCAGAGCTAAGGTGCTTAAGGATATGCCAAGATTGGAAGGCAGACCTGGTGCCTCAATGAAGCCGTTCGATTTCCCTAAACTGAAGGAAGAATTATCGGTACGCTCTCTATTATACTTTTAGTATAATGAACAATTTGGTGATCTGAATGTTTCTCTTTCAGCAAATCTTCGACAAAGTCACCGATAAGGATGTCATGTCCGCCGCCCTGTACCCGCAAGTCACCAAGGATTACCTGAAGTTCACCGCTGAATACGGACCGGTCGACAAGCTGGACACTCGCGTCTTCCTCGTAGGCCCGAAGGTCGGCGAAGAGTTCGAGGTGACCATCGAGAAGGGAAAGACGCTCGGCGTGAAGACTCTGGCCATGGCCGAGGATCTGACCGAGAACGGCGAACGCGAAGTCTTCTTCGAGCTGAACGGTACCCTCCGATCGGTGTTCATCAAGGACAACGAGGCCAGGAAGGAACTGCACATCCATCCGAAAGCGGACAAGGCCAACTTGAAACAGGTGGGCGCTCCTATGCCAGGCGAGGTCATCGACATCAGGGTGAAACCGGGAGACAAAATCGAGAAGGGCACACCTTTGGTCATCCTCTCGGCAATGAAGATGGAAACCGTCGTGCAATCTCCGGCCAAGGGAGTCGTCAAAAGTGTAGAGATCAAGATGGGAATGAAGCTTGAGGCCGAAGATCTCATCATCTCCTTCGAATAAAAAACAAAAAAACACCACCACCGCCAAAACCCCCAATCGAAAGAGAGACCAAAAAAAAAAAGAAAAAAACATCACGAGCGATCTTGTAAATACAAATTATTTTTTTATTTGTTTGTTGATTGTTGTTATTGTTGTTAGTAGTGTTTCTTTCCTGTCGCTCTTTCTTGATACTTTTCTCTCTATCTTTTTATTTAGTTATTTTCTTTTCTAAACTTTATACACACACTATCTTTGTTATACATATATATATTTACATAACGTTTTTTTTTTTTTATTATTCCACAACAAAAAGGAAAAAAAGAACAAATAATATATATTTTTTTTTTATATACAACATGATGTAACGAAATTACGAATCGGACGTTCCCAGAATCCTCTTCATCGCCAACTCCCCGTCCTGCAGAATCAAAGATTACACAAATCCTAACATTAGATTTAACGTTACCTTAACTAGGAAATCGAAGCATTTCTCCACGTAGAAATCATCACTGATCACGATCGATGATGATGGTGCAGGAAGGATGCCGTCGCCTCGAATCATCTTTACGCACGTTATTATGATCACGGCATAAACGCAGATCTTCGCAACTGCAAAACGAGTGTTGAGAAATTGATGGTGGTTTCGGTGATGGAATTACGGTTACTTTCGTGCAGATTCGCCATGATCAATGTGTTGATGAACAGAAAATTTTAAAGCAAAAAAAATGCCAAAATCAAATGACAATCCTCTTAGTTACTGTCATCAATAATGAACAAAAAGTAAGCGAAAACTTACAGGTAAGATCTTGGAAAAACAAATAATTACAAACTTGTTGATTTAGTTCATAGCTTCACGTAAGAAAGTTTAAATAATTAATATAATTATGAAAAACAAATTTATTAAATAGAAGATCTTAGTAACATAATAAACAAGCAATTGAAGTCATCTGACATCTCTTGAAATGTCTACAAAAACAATACCGTTTTTTTTTTCAATTCGATATTTATGTAACGTTAAATAGTGTATAACAGTGGTTTCCAAACTTGATGTTACTACGCTTCCCTCAAAAGTATGTAATCATTTGGCGCCTCCCCACCCCCCCTCCATTTCATAAAAGGAACGCGTATAGAATGAATCCAATATATGCATATGAAAGCTGAATGTTTGGGGAATCCAGCAAGTATAGATACATTCTGTGCTCTTATCGATATTGCTGTAA